AACAGTATCATTGATATCACATGCAAGCAAGATTCTGCTGAAGATTGTCTAAAAACGACTGGAACAGTACATCAACAGAGAACTGTCTAAAGTGCAGGCTGGATTTAGAAGAGGCCATAGCACTAGGGATATTATAGCTAATGTCAGATGGATCTTGTCTGAAAGCAGAGAGTACCAGAGGAATGTCCATCTGTGTTTCATTGACTATGCAAAGGCATTTGACTGTGTGGATCACAAGAAACTGTGACTGACTCTGATAAGAATGGGAATCTCAGAAGACTTGATTGTGCATATGTGAAACCTATACTTGGACCAGGAGACAGTCATCAGAATAGAGCAAGGAAACACTGTATGGTTCAAAATTGGAAAGGTTGTGCATCAAGGATGTCTCCTGTCCCCATATCTTTTCAATCTGTATGCGAAACAGAGGGACATCATGCTTGGGAGGGTGGAGGGACAGTGCAGGAGAGGAAGACCCTCAATGAGATGAATTGATTTAGTCACTGGGGTAATGGGGGGGCAGCGTAGGTGTGTCAGAGACAATAAGATTGTCAAGGAATAGAGCAGGGTTTAGGGCTGTTATACATAGGGTCGCTAGGAGTCGCAGGTAACGCGATGGCACATAACAACCACAACAGACATCCTTCTGGTTTTCTTTGCTTTTAGCCAAAGTCTATCCAACAGTAATAATATCCCTTGTGCCTGGACCATTTCTGAATCTAGCTTGAATTTCTGGTGCTCTGAGCATAGCAATCAAAAAGAGAGATTATGCTATCTAGATTTTGTGGGATTTTCTAGCTCTTAAAAAACTGTTGCTCATGAAAGAACTTTTTTCCCCAAGAAAAAAGCTACCTGGGGTAGAGGCCAGGAGGAAAATGTGCAACAGTGAATGAATGGAAATCCAAGTTCTTTATAAACTTTCATTAAAATCTCAATTTAAAAAAAAAAAGCTATTGCTCTGTGACCCAGGATCCCTGACGGCTTTAAATTTGGGTTTATCCTTTTTAAAAGTATAGCAATGTTCCTTTATATGGTTCTTCTAACATAAAAGATAAGAAACCAAACCTTCACAGATTAATTCAGGACATCTTGAAGCTAGAAGGGACCTGGGATATTATCTAGACAAGTAGAATCAAAAGCACTTGGCAAAGTAAATGTGTAAAAATACAAATGAATATTAAGTATTTTTATTGTTCATATTAATCAGATTTATTTTTAAGCACATTATAACAGTGTAAGATTTTATTAGTTAAGTGTGTTGTAGTAGTCTGTCCTAGAGTAGAAACAGCTCTCATGTTTGACAAGTAAGACTTTCCAGACTGATGATCGGTTTCCAAAACTGACAACTTGGCTCTCTTGTAGTTATACTATCTATATTCTTAGTTTGTATGTTTTACTTTGTGGTTTATTTGTTCAGTTTATTAAAAATGAGGCACTAGTAAGACCCATTAATATCACACCTTGTGGGATACAAGACAACAAGCTGCCATCTCCTCCACTAGATGACTCGCTCATAATATGAAGGACGAAGACATGAGTAATAATGTAATAGGGTAGATGTTATTTCTGCAGTATTTACACTAGGACATAAGAGCTCTCATAAGTGAACACAAAGAAAGTGATACAGACATATTTTCTAAGCAGAGAAAGTACTATTGAGCATTTCAGCCAGAAAGAGTAGTCTGAGAAAAGGCAAGCATGTGAAAGAGCATAGAATGTTCAATGAAAAGGGAAAAGTTCAGAATGCTAAAATGTATAGGTGGCAGGAGAGTGGAAAGCTAGACACTGCCTTTGAGGAGAAGGTTGCTTAATACTAATACAGATTTTACCCTTTGGTAGGAAGAGGAAAGAGCCATAGGATGTTATAAAAAGGGCATTTTTAGGGGGACTCTGGTGGAGAATTGATACCTTTGAGCTGTGGTGCTGAAGAGTGTTGAATATACCATGGACTGGTAGGAGAACAAACAGGTTTGTCCTGGAGAGGGTAAAGCCAGAATGCTCCTTGGCGTCAAGGATTCTGACGCTTCGTCTGACATACTTTGGGCATGTTGCAAGGAGGAACTGGTCCTTGGAGAGGGACATCCATCATGTTTGGGAGAGTGGAGGGACAGCGCAGGAGAGGAAGACCCTCGATGAGATGGATCAATTCTGTGAGTGGAGTGGTGGGAATGAGTGTGTTTGAGACAGCGAGGTTGGCACAGGATAGAACGGCGTTTAGGGCTCTTATACATAGTGTTGCTATGAGTCACAAGCGACTTGATAGCACGTAACAACAATAACAACAACTGGTGGCCTGGCGGCAAGAAGCTGCACTGCAGTCCTGAAGAAGTGCAATTCAAATCCACCAGATGCTCTTCTGGGGAAGGAAAGGCACTCTCCTTCTGTGCCAGTCAGATCGGATTCAATGGTATGCAATAAAGGGAAAAGGGGGGCATATTTTATTTATTTATTATTTTTAAGAAACATGGATGCATGGAAACAGTAAGATATAAGACGGTAGGAATGGAGAGGAGAACCATTTGAAAACTTTTAGATACCATACATTAGACAAGCTTATCAAGTAACATCAGGAAGGAACTACCCCGTAGAACAATCAGCAATACAAGATCCAAACCACACATGTGCTCAAGGATAAATCTCAGAAGGCAGCAAGAGATAGGACAAATGAATGAATAAGCACAGAAAACAAGAAAGGAGCGAGAGGAACGCTTTTACAATGTTGTTCTCTTGCTTCGCCTGACATGCTTTTGACATGTAAGGAGAGGTCTTTGGAGAGGGACATCATGCTGGGCAGAGTGGAGGGACAGCGCAGGAGGGGAAGACCCTCTGTGGGGTGGATTGATTCAGTGACTTGGGTAATCAGGATGGATGTGTCAGAGGCAGTGAGATTGGCACAGGATAGAGCAGGGTTTAGGGCTGTTGTACATGGGGTCGCTATGAGTCGCAAGCGACTCGATGGCACATAACAACAACAACAACAGGTTGTTATCTATGTCAGGGATTCATAATCTGTATGGATTGCTGAATGGAATATCAATTTGTTCTGTAAATGTTTGCTCAAATCACAAGAAAAAGGTAACTGGAAATAATTATTTTTAAAAAAAAAATTCTGTTGAATAACCAAGATAAAAAAAATCTGCTCTGCATGTTGTCAGGAATGATGAGTCCTTGGAAAAAATATGTTGGGAAAGGTGGAGGGAGAGAAAGAGAGGAAGCCCCTCAAAAAGATGGATGGACCCAGTGAGCCCGAATATATCAGCGATTGTGAGGATGGCACAGGATAGGGCAAGCTTCAGATTTGTTGTTCATAGAGTTGCTATGCATCCTAGTCAACTCAAAGTACCTGCCAGCTATCCTTAGGGAGGTGTGCCGCTAACCCAAAGGCCACACCTCTGCTAGTTCAATCCACTAGTAACTCTGTGGGAGAAAGTGAAAAGACAGTCTCCTCCTGGCCAATTTATAGCCCCAGAGAACCCATTGGAAGGGCAGCTATGAGTCGGTATCAAATGAATGGTAGTGATTTTTTTTTTTTAGTTTTAAAGTCTCATGAAGGAAAGATAGGGCCATCTGCTTCCATAAAGACTTACAGCCTAGGAAACCACGTGAGACATTTCTGGTCTCTCTTATGTTGTTGTGTAACATGGAGTCGGAACAGACTCATAGTAGACCCTCTGGTGGGTTTTCAGAGGCAGTTAATCACATAGGAGGAGATTGCCCATCAGTCTCTCATGGAGCAGCTGGTGGCCTTGAACTGCGTACCTTCAGGATTGCAGTGCAGTTTCTTGGCACTTGCCACAAAAGCTCCCATTCTCTCCTATACATTTTAATTGACTCAGCAATAATGGATTGGATACTTAGATTCTAAAGCAACAACAGTAGACATAGCATGGAAAGCATAAGTGACAAATTTTTTTAAGAGCTTCTGTTGACCATTTGGACATGGGTAGTGGAAGGAAAGTATAAGTTAAGGATGACATTGATACTTCTACCTTGAGAGACCAAGTAGATGGTGATGCCAGTAACTGTGTTCAGTATTTTATAAATAAGAACTAAATTACATTTGATCAATGAAATTACTAATAATATGTTGAGGAAAGCGTTCCCAGAAGGAATACAATGGCCAGGATTCTGGTTTTAGTCCCATTCTACTTGTTCTTGCAATTTTAGATAAATCATGTAACCTCTGATTCTTGGTTCCTTCATTTTTGACAGCAGTTCGCAAATGGCATCTGGAAATCCAAAAGGATCCTTGATACTTTCTCAGGAATCCACAAGGTCAAAACTAATAATTAGCCTTTATTTGCCTTTTTTAATCTTATTCTCCTTGACTCTAATAGAATTGTCTACAGACTGCATTAGGTGTGGTACTGCACAAGATAAGAGAATCTGTTGTCTTCTGTTAAGTCAGACATTATATATTGATTTGTAAAAGTATAAAGCAGTGCCTCACTCCTACTTACATTTTGTTTTGTGGAGATTTTTTTCATCTTTTTAATTGAGATTTTAATGAAAGTTTACAGGAAGATTGGGTTTCATTCATTCACTGTTACACTAATGAAAGTTTACAGGAAGATTGGGTTTCATTCATTCACTGTTACACATCTTCTGATTTCTGCCTCCCTCTGCCCTCCCCTAACCCACTTTGCAGTGCCCTCTTGTACCAGATTATTGCCGTACATATAATGGCTGATCATATATTCCTTCCAGACAGTTCTTCCCTTCATCTGTTCCAATGCAGGTTCATCGTCTCTCTATTCTTTTTCTATTCTCTTCGTACCTCTCCCCATTTTGTTAGTTTTGAGAAATAGTTGTTATTATTATGAAAATATTTATATTAACATGTGATAAGTTTATTTTTAAATAAATATTTTAAAATGTTATCCATTTTCATTTATAATGCACTCAGTATTGACAAGGTTGATAAAATTAATCTTATTAATAGCTACTAATGTTATTTATTAATAACTACTATTACAAATTTTATTTACTTTTCCTTTAAGATGGAGCAAATTAAGCGTGCAAATCGCCTTTATACTAATGACTCCATCTTCCTGAAGAAAACCCTCTACATCCCCATCCTGAGAGAGCCCAGAGACCTGTTCAATGGTTTGGATTCTGAAGAAGAGAAAGATGAAGAAGAAGAGAAACAGTCAAGTAAGGATGAAGTTAGACAGCACACAGCTGAGAGGAAAAAGCAAGTGACAAGTTCGAGACGTGCCAATGGTGACGTTCTCCCCACACCTGGTCAGGAATCCCCCACGCCCATCCATGACCTCTCAGCCTCTGACTTCCTTAAGAAACTTGATTCACAGATCAGCCTGTCAAAGCAAGTTGCTGCCCAAAAGCTGAAAAAAGGGGAAAGTGGGTAAGTTTTAAATGATTCTTCATAAGCCCCTCCATCATGAACTCTTCCATTCTTCCAGCCTTACCCAAACCATGTACACAAGTAAGCACAGAGCCAGCAGAAGCACAGTGATGCCTTTTCCCCTGATGACCTCAAGACAGTGAGCAGAGCCAGTGGCTGCAGGAATGAGGAGAGGCACTAGGAAACTGGGTCTGAATTCTCACTGGAATAGAACTTAATGCTCTGATGATCCATCAAGGAATATTAGGGTTAGGATTTTTCCAGAAGAAATTCAGATACCATCTTAGAGCAACCGGCTCCTTTGTTAGGGGAGGTTAGCTTCACACGGACCTTTCCATTTGGGCCATCTTCAGTTGTTTCCTTGCTGTCACTCTTTCCCCATCTCCAGGGTGCCTGGGGAGGATGCTGGTCCCCACCTGAGCTCACCTCGGATGCAGCAGCGAGCAGTCTTGGGTCCTGTGCCACTAACCCGGACCTCACGGACCCGGACACTACGGGACCAGGAGGATGAAATCTTCAAACTCTGATGGCGCAGAATTGACTGAGAGAAGCAAGATGTTGAAGGAATAGCTTGAGGGGTAGAGGAGCCTGAGGTGAGGCTTAAGAACATGGCTTCCTAGCCCACCTCCCTCCACTCCTCCATCTTCCCCAGCCTCCTTGTCCACCCAAAGGTTCTTCAGCCTGGGGAAGTTTTATTACAGAATTAATGGATGGGAAATAGACCTCTTGTCAGTTTTGGGATTCCCCCCTTCCCCGCTCCCCGAATCTAGAGTTATCCTTTAGATTGAGATGGCTCTTTTCATATCCCTGCTGCCTTCCCATCCCCTCACCATTCCTTGGCCTTAGAGCAGGGAAGCAGGGACAGCCTCCATTCCCAACTTTGTCCCTATCTCTAACTATATATTTAATTTATTTGGTGCTATGTTGAAATAATATTTATTTGCTGTGTTTCCTACCTACTCTTAGCCGAAAAATGGGATTTCTAAAGCTCCTGGGTAAGGAAAGGAGTTGTAGTGGTATAGTGGGTCTAACTCTGGGCTGCTCACCGAAGGTCAATAATGTCAACCTGCCAGCTGTTCCGTGGGAGCAAGAGGAGGTAACTGCTCCCATAAAGATTTACTGCCTCAGAAGCCTGTGAACAGTTCTACTCTGTCTCATCGGGTCTCTAGGAGTTAGAATTGACTCAGTGGCAGTGGGTTTGGTTAGGGATTGGGTGTAGGGGACCCAGAGAACAGCGAGCCAGCGATGGCTGGCTCCCCACCTCCTTAGCAAAACATGTTATTGAGGATGAAACAGTGAATGATTTAGTCCTCCCGCAGAGAATGGAGGACTGCTGAGCCGTTCCCTCAGTCAGAGGGTGAAAGGTCTAGGATCAGCCCTGACTAACTAGTGCTCTATAGCTTCCCATATTTTGTTTAGAAAAAAAATAGTACTACAGGGTACTGAACCTGCCACCTCACCAGTTCATCCCTCTAACCTGCTCCTCTGCCTCTGGTGGGGCTAAGAGGATGGAAGAAGGACTGTGAGGGGGTTTTGAAGAGGGGGATAGACCTGTCTGTTGTGGGAATCTTTTTGTTATACACTAACTATTCCCACCGGCCTATCTCTCTCCCCCTTATTTTCCACTACAATTTGCTATTTCTAGCACTGATTTACAGTACAATTTATTTTTTCTTTTTTGTTAGTTTCTTAAACAGAACAAGTAGGTAAGACAACCTCACTGATAATGGAAATAAGCCTCAGACTCCTGTATGGAAATGGTGAGATATGAGCTAAGTGGTGTTTATTTATCACCTTTCCTCTGTAATGATCATATGGTGTGAAAAGCTGGAGAGATTAAACATTGAGCCCTGAGCATGTTTTAGTAGTTTTATTTCCCCTATGAGACTTTTCCTTATCCTCGCCCCTTCTTTCTGCACTCTGGATTAGAACCTCTGGTCTAACTCTAATCCAGGCTCTGTCTACAACTGAAAGTTCTAAGGTATAGTATCTCCATAAGGGTTCCCTTGCCCCCTTCTGTCCTTAATGTCCCCAGAGGGGGACAAACTGTACCCCTTCCTTTAGTTCATAGAGGGAGGGGGATTTCCTATTTCAAATGTCCCTTATGGAGCAAATAGAGATCCAAGTTTCACTTCATCTTTTTTAGGCAGCTTTGTTTCCTGTCCTGCGGCTGAAATGGGAGAAAGGCCTCAGTCCTCAGCATCATTCCTTCTCCAGCTCTTTGGACACAGGGTGGTCTCAAAGCCAAAACCACTCTTGGGAAGGACTGAAGCCCAAGGAGTGAAAAGCATTAGTGCAGAGGAGCAGGGTTAGAAAGCCCATTATCTCTTTGTTTTCTCAGTCAGCTATTTTCCTAAGGTGGAATACGCTGGGTTTAGGACTCTTAGAGCTTCCCTTCATCCAGCAGCTTCCTGAGCCCATTACAGATCTTGTTAAGATGCTGAGTAAAGTCAGGTCCATAGAGAGCTGTGAGCAGATTTGGGTCAGAGAAGTGATCAAACACATGGCGAATGCGGCCGTGTGACTTGGGTGTGAGGTGATGCTCCACCAACTCCAGCAGCACATCCCGGCACTCGGTCAGCAGGCTGGCCAGCACAGCGGCCTCAAAGGTGAAGTCCACCTCACCAAAGCTAAGAGCTGTCATGGCGCCCTGCCGCAGCTTCTGGCGAAAACGATCAGCCAGTGCCAGCTCGTTGGGCCCAAAGCAGCCACTGCGGTGCAGCACAGCCACCTTAACAGCCACCTTGATTAGGTCCTTGATAACACGCTGGGCCTGGGCCCGGCTATGTGTGTACTCCTTGGACACACGGTACAGCTCATCCAGCACTTCACTGCTTGTCTCATCAATGAAGAGATGGGCCACAGACCGACCTGCCATCTTACTCAGTAGCTTCTTCTCTGCTTGCAGTGCCAGATTCTTTGAGCTGAAGGTCTCCATGGTTCCTGGGAAATGGGAACTGTGCGGTCCACCACTAGAAGAAAGGCCACAGGCTTCCTTAGAGAGAGAGAAATGGCTTTTCCCCTTTCTGTCTCTCTTTGGTTTCTTTCTAATCACGATCTCCATTATCTTCATTTCCTTTCCCTGAGTCCCTTCATGTCTATGACCCACTCCTGCTTTTCTAATACTGTAGGAAACCTCAGTCTCCAAAACACCAGGAGCAGTGATAGCTTTGGCTGCAAGTGTGTAGCCAACCCACTGTGAGTTTAGTCTTAAGGGGAAGTAGTAAGCTGTCCCTGCTACACTGGAGAAAACAGGACTTAGCCTGCGAGTATGTCTCATAGCTACTGTTTGTAACACTGAGTATATACCATACACCTGTGAGGTGTAGGCATTACTGTCCTTGTTCTACAGCCAAGCACACTCAGCTAAGCTTACTCAAGCTCAAAAGTAACTTTCCCTAACTCCAAAAGCCTAGGTCAGTTGGTGTCCATACCGAAAGCCCATGTCAACTGGTGTCTATACTGCCTTTAAAGAAATAAGAAATGGAGGGGAGGGTGCTCCGATTTATAAGTAGTAGTATTCTTCATAACTAATGTTTATTGGAAAGAAAACCCCTAATGTTTATTGAGAGCATGTAGATTCTTAGATGGTACACAAAATTTACACTCAGCTAATCAAAAAGTTGGCTGCTTGAGTACACCCAGCAGCAGCTCAGATGAAAGCCCTGGTGTTACGCTTCTGTTAGAAAATCCCTATGTAGCGGGTTCTATTCTTCAGCACATGAGCTAGTAATGAACCAGAATTGACTCAATAGCAATGGGTTTGGTGTTTTTGGTTTTACACTGTGCCAAGTGCTTTATGAGTTATCTCTGTCTTCCCAACTATCTTTAAGGAAGATAGATAGCCACATTTACTGTGAGAAGACAGAAGCTACGAGAAATTAAACAATTTGGCCAGCATCATTAGCAAAATATAAAAATGAGCTGCGAACCAAATAATCCAAAGAAACTTCCTCCCTGTCCTGAAACTCATTGAGGAGGCCCAAGAAACAAGCACTTGGGACAGCCATACTAGGGGTCTTAGGGCTTTTGCTGGGGTTGAACCAAGTACCGTCCTAGTGGCCTATCATTGTCAGTTTCCAGGGTTCTCTCCCCACGTTCTTCACCCAGGGTACTTCTGGTTGTTTTGCTTCTTACTTCCCCCTCCCCTGCTCTGCAGGATGTGGCTGTGACCACAATGAGGAGCAGCCTCACCCTCTCCCCCAAACCAACATGGGAGTTTGAAGAGGTAGAAGAGATGGGTAACTGGGGTTTCTTTCCTAACTGAATCAGCGCAGTCAGAACCTGGAACCTTGCTTTGCCCCTGGTTTGGCCAGGGTATTTCTGGGCCATGCTCCCCAGCCGGAAGAGAAGGTTGCTCCATGTGAGCCTTCCTTCCTCCTTGGCCTTCCTGTTAACCCAGCTCTCTTTTCCCCCCTACTTGCCATGACACGTTTGGTCTGCTATCCGTCTCTGTTTTACCCTTTGGTCTGCCATCTGTCTCTGTTTTACCTTTCTTTTTCATCTTGTCTGGGTCCTGCCTTGTGATCCTTTGACTGTACTCTACCTCTGGCCCTTTAACCCATCTCCCTTCACGTCTTCTGAGATATTCTTTCAACCTTCAGTACTCTGTCACACACCAGTATCCACCCTTGTCCCTCAGCCCTCGCTGTCTTCACCTTATCCCAAACCATGTTTTTCTTCCTGAGGCTACCCTGCCCCGGGGAATACTGAGGTGGAGATATGCACCGATGACCCAAGAATTCTTTCCCAAGTGAGAGTCTCTCAACATGCAGAGCTAAGGCTGAAAGAGCTTGAGACTCTCCTGCCCCCATTACCCCTAAAGTTTATCCTGGCATTGCCAGCACCTCACCTGCCCCGTGCTGGGTGTCAGTCTTGCTTTGTATGTTCCCTTGGAGAGCTGACAGAATAGAGAAGCTCCAGTGAGAGGCCCTTTGGCCTGGCCCCACCCCTCAAGTCCCGCCCACCTTCTCTGTGCTTAACCTCTGGTTGGTTGATCACCATTGTCACCAAGAAGGCCAACAGTCCAAGGCTCCTAGAAATAAGACAGAGGCCAAAGGGTATAACACTCTGGGAAAACAGTCTTGATTACTGGGGAGTAGGGAGTATGTACATATACCCTACTCTCAATTGTTTGAGCTTTCTTTCCTGACTAATTCTTTGCAAACTGTTCGCACTTCATAATCTGTGATGTGGGAGAAGTGAAGTCCCAGTTTCTGCTATAAGAGTCACTGGAACTTAGGTTGGAGATTCCAGGTGCCAGCCAGGAACCGGGAAATCTGAGTGCTTGTTCCTGAATCTCCTAGGAAAGGTAGTGCCATGGTGCAACATTTCCACATGCGTGTACTTCAGTACCCGGCTACGTAAAAGTGGCTCAGATGATTGAGACTTTCTTTAAATTGGAGAGGGAAATGTTGGTACCACGGCAGCTAGATTCTCTGTGACCAGCAGGTGTCAGCAGAACACGGAACTTTGGGGCGGTACAAAGTCTCCATATACATATACAAATTATAGCATGTTTTGAAGGAGTCGGTTGCTCATACGTGCATACTTTTCATGTAGAAAGTGGGAAGCTATGAGAGTGGAATCCTTAGATCAGTGTCTAGAATGTGTTAAGTGCCTAACTTTTGAAGGGGCATGCTTAAGAAGGAAATGACGAGAAGCATGTCAAACTGCAGAGCCGACCAACTATTGTGCCACAACGTGCTGCTGAAGGGTCTTTGCACCACCTGTTTACTATCAGAGGGGTGACCCATACTAGAGCAGGATATATTTTTTTTAATAAAACATTTTTTTTCTTTCACCTTAAAAAAAAGGACGAAATTATCAGTAATATAGCCTGCTTAAACACAAAATGAAAACTGGCTGATGAGATGGCAGCAAAACTAAGTTTAGTGAAAGGAAAGGTAACATCGATAAGCATTTGATTATTGTTGTTGTGTACTGTAGAGTCAGAAGTGACACACAGGTGTGCCTCCTTCGGAATTGTAGCACAGCTTCTTGCCACTAGGTCACCAGAGCTCCCTAGGACTTGTTTAGAAATTATAATTAATTACAATAATCAAATGTAAGCATCTTTATAAAGCATTATCTGTAAGTTCTCTTGGAGCTCTGATGGCCTAGTGGGTAAGGAACTGCACTGGTAACCTAAAGGCACATAGTTGCAATCCACCAATTACTCCATGAGATAGCTAGGAGTCAGGACCAAGTCAACAGCACATAACAATACAGCATGAATTATGGAAAACCCAGTATGATTTGTAAACTTTCACTCAAATAAGATAATTTCTTAAAAAAAATACAGTAAAATGATATAAACCTAAACATCAAAACTGACTGATGAGGAACCTTGGGATTTGGTGATTTTATAAGAAATTGGGGGGGGGGGAAGGATTGGAAAATAGACTGGTTGCAAAGATAAACTGAAGTTCAAAATGGAATCAGTCAGCATATCATTATCTCCAAAACTACTGACTTTCCTCTTGAAGAGACTGTTTGGGTCATAGCTCCTTTACTCTCTTTTCATTATTTCTAGGGTCCAAAGCTAAAAGTCCAAGATAACAATTTATTGAGGTTGGAAAATTTTGACAGTTCTCTTAAGCTGTGTGGTGAGAAAGAGATGAAGAGAAATGAGAAGGTTACTGTGGGATGTGAGCACTTTTATAGTATTTAGAGAAAGGAGCTTGGAGAAGGAGACTTAGAGACAAAAGAGATTGTTTCTAGAATGAGATGTAGGGGCAGATGAAGAAGAACAAGACTAGGAATTCAGGGAGGGAAGTGAGTGAGGAAGAGACAGGAAATTAATATTTGTTGAATGCATTTTCCCAGATTTAATCTCATTTAATCCTCATAATACCTGCATGAGTGAAATACCACTGTATCCTTTTAGAGATTAAAATACTTGAGTTTTAAAAAGTATATAGTAATACTTAATAGTTTAAACTACATTTAAACTATATTTTTTTTTCATTTATTTCTGCTCTTGTTTTTATAATTTCAGTTTTCTTAAAGGGTGTCGGGTTTTCTTGCTGTTCTTTTTCAATTTGCTGGAGATATTGGGTTAGAGCATTTAAACTATATTTAATATCACTATACTTGTCACTTAAAAGACTAAGATGCACCTAATGCAAACCCTGATATTTTCAATTGCTTCCTATGCATCTGAAGATTGGACAGTGAGTAAGGAAGAGAAGAATCTGTGCATTTAAATTGTGGTATTGGAGAAGAGTACTGCATACCTCATGGATTGCCAAAAGAACAAACAAATCAAAGGTCCAACCAGAGTTCTCCTTGGAGAAAAGAAAGGCGAAACTGTGTCTCAAGTCTCACATACTTTGGCCATGTTGTCAGGAGGGGCTGGTCCTTGGAGAAAGGCATCATGCTGGGGAAGGTTGAGGGTCATCTAAAGAGAAGACCTTCCATGAGATGGACTGGCAGAGTGACTGCAACAGTGAGCTTGAGCATGTGGGAGACTGTGAGGATGGCATAGGACAGGGTGAGGTTCAGTTGTTCGTTCATATGGTTCATGAATTGTAGCTGATAACATCTAACAGTATATCCTTGCTGATGAAGGAACTGAGTTTTTAAAAGATTAAAGAACCTGTGCCTGAACCACAGAGCTAGTAAATGTCAGGATTTTGTGTGATGCCTGTGCCTATGCTTTTTTGATAATTAACTTTACAAACTTATGAGGTAGTAACAAACCTCATACTGAATGTGGCAGCATTCTACCCTAGGGAAAATATTAGGTGGCACTATAAAAATAACACACAGGAAAAATAAAAGCCCTTTTCATAAGAAATGCATAATTTAGTTGGAAAATAGGAAAGTGAAACTACAAGCAGATACAAATACAAAAATAACTTCAAAATTTAAAATTCTGTTACCAACACCTTACCTGTTTACCTCTCTAGTTTTACCTCTTGTCTCTCCTTTTGT